CTGTCATCAAGGCGTGGCAGGTTGCGCAGCCACAATCTAGTCCCTGTCCATTCCAACTCCCTGGCACATCCGTCTCAGCTCCATGCAGGAAAGCGTGGTTTGTCGGGGACAATGTCCCGTTGCGAATCTCGTTCTGAAGTGTCTGCAACCACACGTCGTGCGTCCGCTCGCATTCAACGAGTTCCGTCACGCCGTGGAGCCCTTGTGGCCGAGGCCAAGCAGATCCAGAGCGTTTTGCCGTGGCTCCGCTGCCTACTCCTGCACTGCAGCCTTGCCTGCGTCAGGCGGGAGCCTTGAGAGAGCCTCTGCAGCCTGTGGACTGCAGCCTTGGAACTGAGCCTCTGGAACCTGCCGCCTCGGCCTGCGCCTCTTTTCTTTAGCGTCCCGAAGGCAACGCGCCAGGCGCCTTCCCGGCACCTTCAAACCCTTCCCGGCACCTTTGGCTTAGGCCCCAAGCGCACGTTTGGCCTACTCCTGCACCGCAGCCTTTGCGTCAGGCGGGAGTCTGGGGAGGGAGCCTCTGGAACGTGCAGCCCATGCGCTGCAGCCTTAGAACTGAGCCTCTGGAACCTGCCACCTCGGCCTGCACCTCTTTTCTTTAGGGTCCCGAAGGCAACGTCCAGGCGCCTTCAAAAGCTTCCCGGCGCCTTTGGCCTACTCCTGCACCGCAGCATTGCCTGCGTCAGGCGGGAGCGTGGGGAGGGAGCCTCTGGAACGTGCAGCCCGTGCACTGCAGCCTTAGAACCGAGCCTCTGGAACCTGCCACCTAGGCCTGCGCCTCTTTTCTTTAGGATTCCGAAGGCAACGCGCCAGGCGACGTCAAGCATTTTAGCTTCAAACGCTTCCGGGAGCCTTGGGAGGGAGCCTCTGGGACCCACAGTCCCCTGAGGCCATTTGGTCGCTCCTTTATATAAGCAGTTGTTCTGTCTTAGGTCCACGACCACCACCATTGGTGTCCACAACAGAACTATGTCCAACTTCGGTTGTTGCCTTCCTAGCCATGCTGCCTTGTCTCACAAAAAAGGGGTCGGCGGCACCAGGGCGGAGCCCTTACAATCCGGGCGCCGGCCACGGGCCCGTGTCCTTGCTGGAGGCCTTCGGTGGTAACCGAAGGTTATATACGCTCGCCGCCCCTGCCGCCGACCCTTTTGTTGGACCGCGGGGATACCCCCGGTCGAATCCGGTCGACAGATTTTTGACAGATTTTTATGTTATTTATTTTTTATCTACCAGCATGATTGCGCATGATGCGGAAAACATCGTTTTTTACAGTGTTTTGTGGCCTTCGGCGGACACGACTTTCGTCTAACAGGGTGCCGGTGGTGTCGGTTATGCGTGCCGCGCGGACAGGCTTAATCGACATTTCGTGGGTGTTGGGCACATAAGTTGCCTAACATATCTCCAACATAGGCCCAAGATAGCCAACATATCCCCAACATGTGCTCAACATAGCCTCCAAGATGGCTCAACATAGGGCCAACATAGGCCAACATGGGGCCAACATACGCCAATATAGGCCCAACATAGGCCCAACCTAGGCCAACATAGGCCTAACATAGGCCGACCTAGGCCCAACATAGGCTCAACATGGGCCCAAGATGTGCTCAACATAGACCACATGGGCTCAACTTAGCCCAACCTAGGGCCAAGATGCGCACCAGATAGCTTAACTTTCAACCTCGGGCCAAGATGCGCACCAGATAGCGTAACGTTGCTCAAGCTTAATCGACATTTCGTGGGCGTTGGGCACACGCAAACAGCAAAGGCGGAACATGTGCTCCGAGATGACCTGAAAGAGGCCTTCGAGAGGACCTCACCTAGTCCCAGCCTATAGGACACATAGCCGTAAGATGACCCGACCTAGGTCTCACATATGGGAAACATAGCCCCTAAGCGGGCTCAGATTGCCTCAAGATGTGGCAACATTGGCATCACACAGTCTCAAATGGGCCCAGACTGCCTCAAGATGTGGCAACATAGGCGTCACACAGTCTCAAAAAGAGAGAGAGAGAGAGAGACAGCGAAGACAGAGACAGAGACTACAGAGAAGATAGAGACAGAGACTACAGAGATAGAGACCGACAGAGAAAGCGGAGGGAGAGAGGAGAGAGAGAGGGTAGCAGGACATGTGCAAGACGGCTCTCCCGACTTCGGCGTATACGAGGTATACGCCCGGGCGGTCAGCCCCCTTCTCGAGAAGGACGCTCCCGGGACGGTCAGCCCCCTTCTCGAGAAGGATGCTACCGGGACGCCCGAAGTCCCGGTCCCCGTCTTGCACAGGGAGGGGTTGTTCGGTCCCCCACCGACTGAAGATGTAGACGGCGCGCACCTGGCGAGAACGAATTCACGGACACTGCGCTCTGCACGCATCGTTCACAGTTTCACAGTTCCTTGCCGTCTCACCGCTCTTGCAGCGCTCGCTCACCGGTCTTTTTTTACTGCTACGGCCTGGTTGTTGTCATGAAGTTGACCGCGTGAGCGATGCTCTGGCGGAGGCTAGAGCGAAGGCGCAAACGAACCAAGGATCTGTGCGGTTGGACGCACGCGGCGTCGAAGGTTCAACCGCTTCTTTGGGTCCGTTTCGACCGCTTCTCCGTGGGAGTTTGCCATGCGACTCTGACAGTGTCATGTGCTGGCAGATGGTCCAACCGAACCTTTGGCTCCACAGGCCCACAAAAACGAAGTCATGGCCGAGGCCGTTCGGGAGCATACAGTTGAAACCCTGCTATAGTACAACGCATTTCTGGGCTTTTGACTCTCGAATTTCAGGCTTTTGCCGGGCAGGAGTGATGCTCTTGCCTTCGGGTAGGAGATAAAATGGTGCTGCGCAGGGTGGTTCTGCGCACCAGGTTTTGAACTATGGAGTTTTTATTAAGTGGGCGGACTAAGGGTTTGCCGGGCATGAGCGATGC